CCGAATAATCAGACAGAGCCACCGCCAAGTCAGCTTTTCTGGGCTGCTTTTCTGCCTGCCATCCTGTCCCAGGCGTCCAGCGCATATTGGAATTATCCCGGCGACAAGGCCAGCCACGTTTGCGAGACAATGGAATTCAAGAGAAGGGCAACGGATGGTGTTAGAGGTATGCTGTGATGGGGGCGAGAGGCGCGTGCGAACGGTGACACCAGTGCCTTGGGCGGGGCTCCCTATGGGACCACGAACCGTGTGAACGGTGTGCTGTCGCGCGTGGAGGAAACGCATGCAAACCGTGGCGCTGGGGCCTTGGGTGGGGCTCCCTAGAAGGCTACTGACCGTGTGAGAGGTGAGCTGTAATGAACGGGGGAAAGGGGAACACGTGCAAACAGTGGCACTGCGGCCTTGGGTGGAACTCCCCATGGGGCCACGAACCGTGTCGGGGTGTGCCGTGATGGGCGGGAATACGCGTGCGAACGGTGGCGCTGGGGCCTCGGGTGGGGCTCCCTGTGGGGCCACGGGCCCGAATTAGGGATATATCATCATGAGCGCGGGGGGCGCGCGCGAATGGTGGCAGTGGGGCCCAAGGTGGAACGCCACGAACCATGTGAGGGGTGTGCAGTAACAGGTGGGGGAAGCGCATGCGAACGGTAGCGCTGGGGCCTACGGTGGAATTCCGTTTTGGGCGACGAACCGTGTGAGGGGTGTGCCGTAATGGGCGGGGAAACGCATTCGAACGGTGACGTTTGGGCCTCGGGTGGATATCCGTACTGGCGCCTTGGGTGGAAATTCTTCTGGGGCCACGAAACGTGTTAGGAGTGTGCCATGGGCGGGGGAAAGCATGCGAACGGTAACGCTGGGGTCTCGGATGGAGCTACCTATGGCGCCATGAACCGTGTGAGGGGTGTGCCGCAACGGGCGGGGGAAACGCATGCGAATGTTGGCACTAGGGCCTTCGGTGGAGCTCCTTATGGGGCCACGGGCCCGTGTGAGGGGTGTGCCGACACGGACATGCGGAATGCAGAAGCAATGATGGGAGGTGGGGAAGGGGGAGGAGGAAGGAGGAATGACGCGGGGCGCTGTCTCTCAAAACGAAGTCCCAACACAGTATGGTGAAACATATCCCGGGACGTACCCAACCATTTTTTGCATGTGGCGAGTATATTTCTGGTCGCTCAATAAAAACAATCGTTGGCTGATCCGCAATGCCCTTGAACGCTTCGCCAAAGCACGTCGGAACAGGGTCAAGTGTTCCACATACGCGGCGCCACTCTTAAAAATCAGGTCGTTGGCGTGAGAGCGACCACGAGGGGGTGTGGAAGCATGTGGAGGAGAGACGATGGGAGAAATTATTCGTAGGAGTAAGAGCGCTTTGCGCTGTGTACGCATTGCAGGATCGCGCTCTGCGCGCTATGACAGCACAGCCCTTGCGCTAGACGTAGCATGTGCCCGCATGCGTGACAAGCAACAGGCAGCTGAGGAAGGGATGCGGCATGGGCAATAGACAGCGCCATGCGCTATTCGCTGCGCGGCGCTCGTACACGCCGCGTCACCCCGCTGGCCCTCCCAGAGGCCCATCGCACACCCCCCAGGGGACGGCGAGGACTCGTAGTGATCCGCGAAAGACGTACCTCCGCTCGGCCTTCCTGAAGACCAAGAGAGAGGCGACAATTCGCAGATCGCAATCCCCCAGGGGACGGCGAGGTGTCGTGGTGATCCGCAGGACGTCCCTCCGCTGGGCGTCCCAGACACCACCGAAAGTGGCGACAGTTTGGCAGATCGCAACCCCCCAGGGGACGGCGAGATCTCGTGGTACCTCCGCTTGGTGTCCCAGAAGCACACGAGACCGGCACCAGCTTCGCAGATCGCAACCCCCCAAGGGACGGCGAGGTCTCGTGGTGATCCGCGTAGGACGTACCTCCGCTGGGCTCCCCAGACGCCCACGAAAATGGCGACAACTTCGCAGATCGCAACCCCCCAGGGGACGGCGAGGTCTCGTGGTGATCCGCGTATAACGTACCTCCACGGGGCATCCCAGAAGCCCACGAAAGTGGCGACAGTTTCGCGGATCGCAGCCCCCCTGGGGACGGCGAGGTCTCGTGGTGATCCGCGTATGACGTACCTCGGCTGGGCCCCCCAGAAGCCCACGAAAAAAGCAACAGCTTCGCACATCGCAGCCTCCCAGAAGCTCACGAACAAGGCAACAACTTCGCAGATCGCAACCCCCCAGGGGACGGCGAGGTCTCGTGGTGATCCGCGTAGGACGTACCTCCGCTGGGCATCCCAGAAGCCCACGAAAGTGGCGACAGTTTCGCGGATCGCAGCCCCCCTGGGGACGGTGAGGTCTCGTGGTGACCCGCGTATGACGTACCTCCGCTGGGCCTCCAAGAAACCCATGCCACCAGCAACAGTTTCGCAGACCGCTGGCAGGAGGCAGGAGGCAGAAGGCAAGCGAGAGGAGAGAGGAAAAGGAGGGAGAAGGAGGGACGGGAAGGAGGAGCAGGAGGAGAAGGAGAAGGAGAAGGTGGAGACCACAGTGCTCTATTCAAAAGGAGAGTTGGGAAACAACGAATTAAATGTTTGCACAATGTTCGACCTCTGGGGCCGTCGCCGGACCCTGGACCGTCAATTCAGGCCTCCCAGATGGGGTCCGAGCAGATGCAGTCGGAGCGTCTCGCTGCAACGGCGAAGCATCGGCGATGCGTCGGCGATGCGTCAGCGACGTCGGCGATTCCTCGGCGCCGTCTTGGGGAAAATCCTAGTCGTCTTCGAGCCACGTCGGCGATGCATCGACGATGCGGCGCGATCCTCAGTCCCAATGCGCTTAGACCCCATCTGGGAGGCCTAGAAGAGCCAAAGACTCGAGATGCGAAAAGGGTCCCTGAGAAAGGGCCCTCGACTTCTGGGAACCACGTGTGAAAATATCGAAGCACATCGGATGTCTGGGCCTGTCCACGACACGGGCCTCTCTGAGACTCTCAGCCTCCTAGATGGGGTAGGAGTAGATGGGGTCGGAGGATCGTGCCGCATCGCCGATGCATCGGCGATGTATCGGCGAGGTATCGGCGATGCAACGCCGACATCGGCGATGCATCGGCGACGTCGACGTGAAGCAAATCGGGCGCTCCACAGCGAGCCGCATCGGCGATGCATCGGCGATGCGGCGCGATCCTCCGACCCCGTCTGCTCCGACCCAGTGTCTGGGAGGCCGCCCAAACCTTCTCGGGCGACCTGCGTCTTTCATCCGCCGGCCGCCCCTTCGACGTCGGGCAGAGTGAGACGGTCCGTACCTTGAGGTCGGGCATGTCCCCCTACAGAGGGGGTTCTGGACGAAAAATAAACGATAGTAGAAACAATACTCCCAAATAGAAGAAAATAGTGCGAGAAATCGTCCCCCGATTTGTGTTTTGACAATCTTTGAATACTCCTCCTGTTGAGGGACAGGCCCGAGGTGAGGCGAGACGGCCCTTGCCTCTGCCGCGAAGCCCAGGGAGGTCTGGGCGTGCCCGCCTGCCGTGCCCCATCGATGACCGGGCCGGACGAACGGGGGACAACAGGAGGTCGGAGGCGCACAAGGGTGGAGCAGCGATCCCTGGACTTGGCGCGCGGTCGCCAAATCCATGGATCGGGGGAGGTGCCCTCCCCGGAATTCGGCCAGTGCCGCCTCGCTCGGCGGCGGAAATCCGCGGTCGATGAAGAAGCAGAAGAAGAAGCGGCGGAAATCATCCTCGTCGCTAATCCATGATCCATGCTAGCGATCGCCTGAAGAAGGGTGGGGGGTAGCAAGTCAGCGTGGCTGGCTTGCTTTCCCGGCGCCTCCCAGCGCCAGGAGCTCGAGCAAGAACATCTGGCGGCGGGGCCCGGACCGGCTGCTGCAGGCGGCAAACTTCGTGCCCCCCCCCGCCCCCCCTTGTTTGTCCGAACCGAATGATTCTCGTCTGGTTTCTGGGTCACGCCTTGGTAGGAAGGCACCAACTATACACCAACACCGATCCTGGCCAGGATAAGCCTGGGCCCAGGATCGGTGTATACGCCCTCCTGCCTTGCGCAAGAAGGCATATACACCGATCCTCGGCCCAGGGTGATCCTGGGCCCGGATCGGTGTTGGTGTACAGTTGGTGCCCTCCGACTTGGATCTCCAGCGACCTCTCGGGACAATCTGGGCATCGCCGGAGCGCACTCGGCCAGACGGCTGGAAAGCCACTACAATCAGGTCGGGCGTGTCCCGCTGCGGTGGGATTCTGGATGAAAAACAAAAAAGCCAAAACATATTCCAAAACTCACAGAAATAGTGGAAACATCGTCCCCAGACTATGTTTTGCCTATTTTTGAATATTCCTCCTGTAGAGGGACAGGCCCGACTTACACTAGAACGTCCGGAAACCTCGGGCTTCGAAGCCCTCTCGCCCGATCCGAAGCCCAGGCCCGCGACGTCGCGATATTGTCGCAGCGTGAGCCCCAAAGGTCGCCAGCGCTTCCCCAGGGTCGGTGTTTCATCCTGGATCAGTTGGGACCCCCAGGGGCCGAAAGCGGCATGAACTGGACGTCGTTCTGTTGCTTTACGCCGCGAAAGGGTGAAGGGGCCCTAGGACACACAAATAAATATACACAAATTACAGGATTCCCATATTTTCCAATATGTTTGGGGTTTTCGTCTCCCCCTCCCACTTCCGATTTTTTCCTTATTTTCTGAGGAATCGTCGATGAATTGTGTCTGTGTTTTTTTCCCCTCCTGAAAGGGGTCTGGGTAGAGGGCGCCGGCGGGGCTGCCCTGAGAGGCTTGAGCAGGGACCGACCGTCCCGGCACTGCTATAGGCCTCCGACGAAGTGTTCTCAGGACCCACAAATGTTCCAAGAGCAGGAGCAGTGTTCTCTGAGCACAATCCCGAGGTGGTAAAACAAGACAGTCTCAGCCAGACATGTTCTTGGAGCATGTCGTGCGGACCACGATCGGTTCTTAGAACATTATTTGGTGGGCCTGGAAGCAAGCCAGGACGCTTCGCCACTGCTCGAGAGGCTCCTCGTCGGCATCGTCTTCCAGTTGCCGCATCATCCGCAGGAACTCGGTGAAGTCGATCACGGGGTCCCTGCGCCGCCCCACCTCCGCCAGCCAGCCCGCTGCCTTCTGGTAGGCCTCGGGGCCGGTCGTCGTCCTCCTTCTTCTCCTCCTCCTCTTCCTTTTCCTTCCCGCCTCCTCCTCCTCTTCCTCCTCCTCCTCTTCCTCCTCCTCCTCCTCGTCGTCCTCTTCCTCCTCGTCGTCCTCCACCCCCTCCTACTCCTCCTCCTCTTCCTCCTCCTCCTCCTCCTCCTCCTCCTCCTCCGCCTCCTCCTCGTCCTCCTCCTCCTCCTCCTCCTCCTCCACCTCCTCCTCCTCCTCTCCTCCTCCTCCTCCTCCTCCTCCCTCCCTGCTCCTGCTCCTGCTCCTCCTCCTGCTCCTCCTCCTCCTCCTCCTCCTCCTCCTCCTCCTCCTCCTCCTCCTCCTCCTCCTCCCCCTATGGCCCCTCCCTCTGCCAAGCTCTGCCTTCGACCCTCGAGGCCCAGGGAAGTGCCTTGGCGCTTCTGGCCCCGGCGGGGCCTCCCGGGGGCTTTCTCACGAAGGCCTCCCACGGACCAGGGGTTGTATGTGGAATCTTTTGATGTGGAATTTGCGCGACCCGCGCCTCGGATCACCGCGGGAGGGGCCCAGGGGACAGGGGAGCTGAGCGTGGATGCCAAGTTGGGAGATATACCTGCGTGACACACGCCCCGAGTGATTAAGAAAGTAGAGTCCAAGCTGACGTGGGCTCTGCATCCTTAGCGCAGCAATCTACACCCGAAGCCACTCAGGGTAGACGCGACCCACTACTGCGCCAGGCCAGGCCAAATTTACCCCATCTTACAATCCACATTCATGACTCCCCCGTCCCCTTAGCGTCCTCCACTGTGAACCAAGTACATGTTTTTGTAAGTTGCGCGCCTGCTATGCCATGGCGGAAGCAGGGTGACCAAACAATTTGGACGAGAATGGAACGGGAATGTATGAGAGCCGGCGGGTGTGAAGAAATTATCGGGCGCCGCTGCCGATTCAGAGCGACCCAGAACGCTCTGAAAGCGTCCAAGACCGCTGTGGAAGGATTTACCTTCATCGTACGCCTCCCTGGAACTTTCAGAAGTGTTGGCAGAGCCTACGCAAAAAAAACTGGATATCAGGTCAGCCAGAGAGGCCGCTGAACAGACTGCCGAAAGGGCAGCGGCAGCCTCCCGCCACAAGTAAACAAGTGGGGTAAGGGACCCCTGCAGGTTGTTACGGACTCGTCTACACGGTGCATGCAGGAACTTCGGCACACCTCGGCATCAGTTCATCGCAACAAATCCTCCTCCTCCTACTGCTGGCGGTCCTTCAAGTTGACCCGCATGGTGGGGAACGTCTCGTCGAGGAGGCTGGCAAGGTTCTTGTCTGCGAGCGTGATCACGCCAGTACCGCCCGCGTGGCGGGCGAACCGTGCAAGGAAGTTCCGAACGTCTTGGTTGTCGAACCCGAAGTTCTCGCGGCGCTTGTCCCTCACCTGGAGAGACAAGCCACTGCATGACTCTGAACTCTTGGCGCTGGCCCCCCCCTGCCGGCGCGGGAGACGCCACCAGAGGGGGCCAGCGCCGATCCAAACAAATTGCACCTGGAACCCCGCAATGTTATGGTGATGCAATTTCTCGGAGCAGGGCAAGTTGAGACAACGTCACACGTCGTTCATTTCTAATCGTGCTCATTCCTTATTGCGCTCGTTTCTAATTGTTCCTGGCCCCCTAGTGGCCAGGAAGAGGCCCAGGATAGAACAGTTAGAAAAGAACGGATCTAGGCCCCCAAAAGAATCAAAGAACTTTCGAAGAATCAGAAACGAACAATGTGTAGCTCAAGATCGGTCTCCTTGGCCCTCAGGTCCCAACGCACCAGTGGTCCGAGCTGAACCCAGCCGTGGCGACGAGCCGATCGCCGGAGGCCAGCTGGCGTGGCCTCAGCTCGCCCTGCTCTTAGGTCGGGCCTGTCCCCCCCTATACAGGGGGGATGTTCGGCGAAGAATGAAACATACAAACAAACAAAAAATGCGCCCAACATGCCCAAAAAGAATCAAAACATAGTCCCCAGACTATGTTTCGAACTATTCTTTGATATCCCTCCTGTGCAAGGACAAGCCCGACTTAACCCTACTCCGAGTTTCTCCTGCTTCCGTCACCGCCCTCCAGTAGGCGAGCACCAATCTCAGCCAGTCCCACCTGGGCGACGAAGAAAGAAACGGGTCTGACGCGCAAGATGACCTTACGCGACGGCTTGCGCGGGTCGCCAGCGCGGCAAGCTACATTGGAAACGAGGGCGCTTACGCGCGACCTGACGGAAGCAACTTACGCGCGCAAGCATGCGCAGTCGAACCCGTGCTTCTTCCGTCGCTTACCTGTCGGCCCTCTCAGCGAACCTGCTCCCGCACTCGTGCCAGATCAGCTGCACCTGCTGGACGTCGACCCTGAAGGGCAGGTGGCACATCGCCGCCGAGCGGAGCTCGCTCTCGGTGATCTTGCCTCGCTGGCAGGAGTTACATCCACATCCATTGCGTCTCGGGTGTTCGGACTCCCCTCCGTGGAGACACGAGACGCAATGAAAAACATATATGGCTAATCGAGGAGCCAGATGTTTATCCACATCCACCAGGTCTCTGATGTGTGGCATCCCTTCCCCGAAAAATCCAGGACGCCGTGGATACGGATATAGGTCTTGCCCACATGCCTGGCAAGTGTAGTTCTTTCTCTTCGTACTGCTCATCCTAGAGGGAGAAAAGCAACACAAACATAAAGTTCCGGAGGTCCGCGCGGATTTCTTGGATCGGGGCTGGCCCTGGCGGTGCCGCCCCTTCCAGGGAGGGGGGTCCAGCGCCGATCCAAGAAATCCGCGCGGACCTCCAAACGCATATGTTATGTGTAGTCTTTTCTTCTTCAATCTCCAGCTTGAGGATCAGATCTTCCCTGAATTCGGAGACATCTTCTGAGAGGTCTCCGTACGAGTTGAATAAAGGCCAACTGGCCAATGTTAAGTTCGCCCAGATGATACGCTGGATGTAGCCAGAGCCAGACTCAGCGCAGGATTACGTTGAATTATGAAGGATTGTCCCAGATTGCGTCATGCCATTTCTCGACCCTGAATCTACCAGCGCCAATGCTAAATTCAACCTCCCAGGAGTTGCATCCTAGCCTGAGCTTCTTCCCAAGCTTGACGAACTCCACCTCGCAAATGCTGTCGCTTTTGTCCAAATCGAAGCCTAGGAGCATGTCCTGCACCTCCGTCACCGGCAGTGCCCAGCCAGCCTGCCGCAGCGCGCTGCTCAGCGGTACGCCAGTGAGGCCCGCATTGCCGCCATCGCTGTACTTCCTTGGATGAACACCCGGACCCGCTCGCGCCGTGGAAAAGCAATGACGGAGGGTATTGTGTTTCTTCTGGCTATGGGGGCTCCCCCTTGCCCATCAACGGTCGGCCCTGGTCCTGCGACAAAAATCAAGACTTCGGAGGGCTGGGGAAGATGCCGCGCAAACATAAACTTTCAGTTGCCCGCGCGGACTTCAAGGACCTGCGTTGGACCTCCCATCCCTGGCGCGCAAAGTGCAAACCGAGGGGGCACGGCGCATAATCCAGAAACGCCGCGCGGACATTCAAACATGTGTCGCCTGACATCCGCCGATTCGACTAAGACAAATCCACGGCTCCAGGACCCCCGACTACCTCCCCAGGGGCAATTTTTTTGTCCAAGGCTATGTTTGAAGGTCCAGAGACCTAAGCACAGCCCCTGAAGGACGAAATCATGGAAAAACCGACAGATGGGAAAAATCATATGTTCGGAAACGTGGGTTTGCAGTTTTCAGTCTCCCTCGATTCCTGTAGGACTGGCGGAGGTCCTGAAGGGGCAACGTTAGTGAGGGTCTGGACCAGGGGGGGGGACATGGGCATGAAGTCGGCGATGAAACGCCGCTGAATCGGCGAAAGGCCACCGAAAGCGCATTTGCGTGTTCCTGGCTGGGAGCAGGCTATCGGCGATGAATGGTCGATGGGGGACTGATGGGTCCCCCCCTCTGAAGCCCAACGTTGCGCAACAAATGCAACATCGCGAAAAATCACGACCGAAGCCCTAGATTCCGTCTTTCTGCATCATTTTCCTTACGGGATCGATCAGTGAGGGCCCTGGGGCCCGAAAGGAGGCACCGTCTCGCGTTGTGCAAGAATTACTACGCCAGGATCTCAAGGCCTGAGCTTATCCACCCTAACGTTGCCCCTGAGTCCTCGACTTCGCTGTGCGTCATGCACTCCTCCACGAGCGGCGAACATACCCATATCCGCGCTCTCGCGGTCAGGACTCTGGGGCGCTAGCCCGCGGACGCACGGCTACGCCGATGGCGTCCGGGAAAAACCGCCCCGCATCCGCAAGGTCGCGGCCCAGGGGCCGGGCCCGCGAGGCCGTGTATGGATTCGGATATGTATTCATCGCCCACGACGCCTTCTGGCGAAGGGCCTCCAAGACCTCGTAGACGTCCTCCAAGAGGAAGCCCCTCCTGCCCTCGAGGTGGCAGTCCCGGACGGCCTCCTGCACGGCCTGTTACGGGGCCAGCCAGCACCAACCCGGGGATCGGGTCGGGTCGGGATCTCAGAGATCCAAGGCATGGACAAAACAAGACGGAGGTTTTTCATCGTTCTCGGGATCTGGGAGCCTTCGCCGGGCCCCAAAACCGCTAAACAACGACTCCCGATAAAAGGCGACTCCAGGAACGGGTCGGGACTTCTGGGCAAGGGGCCGCGTATTGCATCGGATGTCTGTCGGCACGGAACCGAAGTCAAATCGGACCTAGGACGAGACTGATGCCATGGTGCGACTAGCTAAGAAAAGACTCCAACACTTGCAGACGATCTGGCGGCCCTCGCTTTTTGATCCCGTGCGGGACAATGAGAAATTTTGGAAATCTGGAAAATATTGGAATGTATCGCTGTCCTCGCATAACACTAATAATTAATAGCGGTCCGATGACAGAGCGCCCCCCATAATAAAGGATCCCCCATACTCTTTTTGCCTCCTTACAATGTATAACCCCGGGGATAGACAAAGTTGGTCGGGGGAGAGGGGCGGCGAGGCCGAGCTTCATTACCGCTAGGGAAAATACGAATCGAATTTGCGACCGTCTACAACATCCTGCATCCTACTGCATCTTTGAAGAGCGTACACAACATCCTGCATCCTACTACTACACCCTGAGACGCCATCCAACTACACGCCTTGTTATGCTTGTAAGTCTTCATCTCGTTTTACGACTACTACTACCACTGCAACTTCTTCTTCTTCTTCTACTACTACTACTACGATTGCTACTACGGCTGCTATGACTCCTACTACGACTAGGGCGACTACTACTGCTGCTGCTGCTACTACTACTACTACTACTACTACTCCCACCTATAACTGCTACTGCGACTACTGCTACTCCTTGTGCTACGACTATACTACTACTCCCTGTGACTACTCATACGATTCAACTACAAGTGCTGCTTTTACTACTACTACTACTACTACTACTACTACTACTACTACTACGACGACGACGACGACGACGACGACGACGACTACTACTGTTACCACCCATAATGTATCTACTACTCCGACTCCTACTACTACGCGTACCAACCCGCAAGTTCAATGAATACTGCGACATCTACTGCTACGACTACTACTGAAAGTACGACTACTAGCACAACTACTACTCCTCTACCACTACTTCTGCTATTGCTACTACTGCTACTGCTACTGCCACTGCTACTGCTACTACTACTACTACTACTACCACTACTACTACTACTACTACTACTACTACTACTACTACTGATACTACTACTTCCACTACTACTACTAGTACTACTACTACTACTACTACTACTACTACTACTACTACTACTACTACTACTGGTGCTGCCACTACGGCCCCTACCACTTCTACCACGACTACGGCAACAACAACTACTACTACTACTACAACGACTACTACTAATACTACTGCTACTGACTCTACCACTACAACAACTACTACTACTAGTAGTAGTACTACTACTACTACTACTACAAATACTACTACTACGACCACTACTACTACTACTACTATTACTACTACGACTACTACTACTACTACTACTACTACTACTACCACTACGGCTACTACGACGAATACGGCTACTACTACAACTAAACCTTCTACCCGTACGACTACGACTACCTGGATGAGGACTACGACTACCACTCCTACTACTACTCCAACGACGACGACTACTACTACTACTACTACTCCAGCCAAAACTACAACTACGACTACAACAGCTACTACTACTGCCATTACTACTACTGCTACTACTACTACTGCTACTACTACTACTACTACTACTACTACTACTACTACTACTACTACTACTACTGTTACTACTGCTACTATTACTACTAGTACTACTACTACTACTACTACTACTACTACTACTACCACTGCGACCACTATTCTCCGACTACAGCTGAGACGGCTACAACTACTACTGCGACGACGACCACCAGTGCAACTGCAAGCGCGACTACGACTAGAACGACCACGACAACTACCACAACGACGACGGCTACTACTGCGACTACGACTACTACTACTACTACTACTACTACTACTACTACCACTACTACTACGACTACTACTACTACGACTACTACGACAACGGATACCAGATCGACCAGTACTGCTAGTACTACTCGTACTACTACTGTTACTGCTACTAGCACTACGGTTACAACGGCGACTACTAGTATTGCTACTACTGCTATTGCTACTTGTACTGCTACTGCAACTACTTCTGCGATTGCTACTGCTGGTGCGACTTCTGCCAATGCAGCTGTTACTGCTTCTACTGCTGCTACCCCCAATACGACCAGCCTTACTAGAACTACTACTTCTACATCTGCTGCGACTGCGTTTACGACTACTGGGACTGCGACTACTACAGCTACTACTACTACGACTTCTACTACTACTACCACTCCTACTACTACTACGACTACGACTGCGACTACTACTACTACTACTACTACTACTACTACTACTACTACTACTACTACTACTACTACTTACTGCTGCTACTGCTATTGCTACTACGGCGGCGACTGCTATTCCTACTACTACTACCAATGCGACAACGACGACTACAATCTTTTCTACTACTACGACTACTACTACTACTACTACTACTACTACGACGACGACGACGACTAGTACTACTACTACTACTACTACTACTACTACTACTACTACTACTACTACTACTACTGCTACTACTACTACTACGACTACGAGTATTACTACTACTACTACTACTACTACTACTACTACTACTGCGGCGACTACTACTACTACTACTACTACCACCACTACAACGTCTACTGCTTCTTACTTCGGTTTCTACTACTGCTACTGCTACCCGTACTACTACTGCTACTACCACTGCTACTACCACTACAGCTCCTACGACTACTGCTTCTACAAATTGTCCCGCTAAGGCGACTACTGCTCCTACTAAGGCTGCGACTACTACTGTACTGCTACTACTCCTAATACGACGGCGACTGCTACTACTACTACTACTGCTGCTACGACTACTACTACTACTACTGCTGCTACTACTACTACTGCTCCTGCTACTGCTACGAGTACTACCACTATTACTACGACTACGACTACTACTACTAGGACTACTACGACTACTACTACTACTACTACTGCCGTAACATTACAACTACTACTACAACTATTATTACTACTACTACTACTACTACTACTACTACTACTACGACTACTACTCCGACTACTACTACTACTACTACTACTACTACTACTACTACGACTACCAGTGCTACTACTACTGATACTACTGCTACGACTACTATGGGTACTGCTCCTACAGCTGCTACTACTACCTCTTCTCCCTTTATCATTATTACTATGCCTACTACTGCTAACAGTACACGTTCAATTACCACGACTGCTAAAGCTACCACCACTACTATCACCACTGCTTCCTACTACCCACTGCCAACTACCAGCTAACTGCTACCGGCTGTTCCTTGTAATACTATATTACTACTGCTAGTACTACTACTACTACTACTACAACCACCACTACCACGACACCTACTACTACTACTACTGCTACTGCTACTGCTACTGCTACTACGACTACTGCTACTACCACTACTACCACTACTACTACTACTACTACTACTACGACTACTACTACTACTACTACTACTACTACTACTACTACTACTAGAACTACAACGACTACAACTACTACGACTATTACTACTATTACGACAACAACAACTACTACTACTACTACTACTACAACTACTACTGCTACTACTACTACCCACGACTAATACTACTACTACTACTACTACTACTACTACTACTACTACTACTACTACTACTACTACTACGGCTACGACTACTGTTACTACTACTACTACTACTACTACTACTACTACTACTACTACTACTACTACTACTACTACTACTACTACTACTACTACTACTACTACTACTACTACTACTACTACTACTACTACTACTACTACTACTACTACTACTACTACTACTACTACTACTACTACTACTACTACTACTACTACTACTACTATACTACTACACTACTACTACTACTACTACTACTACTACTACTACTACTACTACTACTACTACTACTACTACTACTACTACTACTACTACTACTACTAGTACTACTTCTCTTAGTATTACCACTACTACTGACAGTACTACTACTACTGCTTCTACTACTACTACTTACTACTACTGCTACAACTACTACTACTACTACTACTACTACTACTACTACGATCACGACTACTAGGATAACTACGACCATTCCTACAACAACTACAACGACAACTGCTACGACCATGATTACTACTACCACCACCACCACCACCACCACCACTGCTACTACTACTACTACTACTACTACTACAACGACTACTACTGTTACTACTACTATATCACTACTACTAATACTGCTACTACTACTACTACTACTACTACTACTCCTACTACTACCACGGCTACTACTAAAACTATTACTACTACTGCTGCTACTACTACGACCACTACCACCACTACTACTACTACTACTACTACTACTACTACTACTTCTACTACTACGACGACGACTACTACTCATACTACTACTACTACTACTACTACTACTACTACTACTACTACCACGACTACTGCTACTACTACTACTACTACTACTACTACAACTACTACTACTACTACTAATACTATTACCACTACTACTTCCACTGCTACTGCTACTACTACTACTACTGCTACTACTACTACTACTACTACTACTACTCTACTACTACTACTACTACTACTACTACTACTACTACTGGTACTACAACTACTGCTACTACTACTACTACTACTACTTCTTCTACTCCTACTTCTACTTCTACTCCTACCACTACTACGACTACTACGACTACTACTACTACTACTA